AGTTTGAAGTTTTTTTGCAGACAAAGGTTCGGCGGGTTCCTTGCCCCGTAAGATGTAATCAAGTAGTTCCATTATCCAAGTTTCACTGGATGTTGCCAAATGTGCCTCTTCGACCGTCATGCTTTCGGCTGAGGTTATGCTTGGAGTGGATAACTCAAGGTGTAATGTAGTTCTGAGCTGGCCTGGGTTGTGACTACTGCTTGCTAATCGGGCCAACTGATCGGCTCTTTCATTATTCTCCATCAATGTATGCTTCACTTGTACTTTATCGAAGTTTGAACACATGTTACGTAACAAGTGATAATAACGCAGTAGATTCGGATCTTTGACTTGGAAATGATCATTAACTTGTTTCGATACGATTTTTGAGTCCGTCCAACAAATCAACTTTCGGATTCCTACTTCACTTGCTAATCTTAGCCCTGCTAGCAGTGCTTCGTACTCGGCTTGATTGTTTGAGGCTCAAAATGTAAAGTGCTTGGATTGTTCGAGGGTTACCCCCATGGGCCCTTCAAGAATGATGCCTGCCTTACTACCCGTGTTGTTGGAGGAACCATCAACATGCATTGCCCATTAATCACTCTCGAATTGACCTTTCGACTGTAGTTCATTGACGAACTCGGCCAAGCATTGTAATTTAATCGGCCCCCAAGGCTCAAATGATATGTCAAACTCTGACAGTTCAATAGACCATGCCATCATTCGTCCTGCCAGTTTGGGCTTTCTCAAGACCTTAGCAATTGGGAAATCGGTGCGTACAACGATCTTGTGTTCCTGGAAGTATTGCTGAAGCCTATGCGCCGTGTGAACAAGTCCGAGTGCCACTTTTTCAAGTAGCTGATACCTACTTTTCGATTCTTGTAACATTCAGCTGATAAAGTAGATAGGCATTTGAGTTTCCTTCTCCTGTATCAAGACCGCACTGATGGCCTCATGTGAAAGGCACATGTAAACAATGACGTCCGATTGAGGATCGGGATTTGAGAGGATTGGAGGTGTTCCAAGACACTGTTTTAATGCTTGTAAATCCGTTTCACAATCTTCCGGCCATGTAAACTTGTTTACTTTTTTCAGTAGACTTAAGATTGGCTTGGCTACTTCTGTAAGACATGGAAGAAACCTCGACAAGGCTGTGAGCCGGCCGGCCAGTCGTTGTACCTCTTTCATATTTTGTGGACTTCTCATTTCGACCATTTCCCGACACTTGTCAGGGTTGGCTTCGATACCCCTGGCTGAAAGCATGAAGCCAAGAAACTTGCCACCAGTGATTTCGAATGTGCACTTTTCAGGATTGAGTGTCATATCATAATGTCGAAGCTGCTGAAATACCTCAACTAAGTCCGTGATATGGTTATGAAGGTTATTGGACTTCACGACCATATCGTCCACATAGACTTCCATGTTCTCGTCGATTTGATATTTGAATATCTTATTCATGAGTCGTTGATATGGTGCCATATTTTGTTGGGAAGGTCATGGCAATTTGACAAGAAAACCATGCATAATGACCTCACCAATGAAATAACTTTCACTCATAAAGAAAAGAAGTTTGTACTTCATCCTTTATCTCCTTCACAAGTGATAAAGGATCAAGTCCAAATGAAATTGAAAAGAGAGAGAAAAAAAAGTTGAAAAAAAAAGAAGCATAAGTCTTCAAAGAAGAAGAAGGAAGAGAAACCTCTTCCATTAGAAGGAATTCAACAAGAAGATAATTTGAAACAAACACTACTTGTTGAAAAACTTTCTTATATTCTTCTTTGTAGAAGTATGCTTAAGTGTCATAATTTAAATCTTAAGTCTAGTTCTCTACCACTTGGTGTTTCACAATTATTAAAAGAATTTGATGATGTATTCTCTAATGAGGGTCCAAAAGGCCTTCCACCTTTCAGGGGTATAGAACATCAAATTGATTTTGTGCCTGGGGCAAGTCTACCCAATAGACCTGCCTATAGGACAAATCCACAAGAAACCAAGAAAATAGAGAACCAAGTTCAAGAGTTATTGGACAAGGGTTGGGTACAAAGGAGCTTGAGTCCCTGTGTTGTGCCTGTGTTGTTAGTCCCTAAGAAAGATGAAAAATGGAGAATGTGTTGTGATTGTAGGACTATTAACAACATAACAATCAAGTACAGACACCCAATCCCTAGACTTGATGATATGCTTGAAGAATTACATGGTGCTAACATATTTTCCAAGATAGATCTTAAAAGTGAATATCACCAAATAAGGATCAAAGAGGGTGATGAGTGAAAAACTGCTTTCAAGACTAAATTTGGCTTATATGAATGGCTTGTTATGCCTTTTGGCTTAACCAATGCATCAAGTACATTTATGAGGCTTATGAATCATGTCTTGAGAGAGTGTATAAGAAAATTTGTGGTAGTTTATTTTGATGATATCTTAATCTATAGTAGGTCTCAAGATGATCATGTAGAACATCTTAGAGAAGTTTTAATGATTCTTAGGCAAAACCACTTGTTTGCAAATGTTGAAAAATGTACTTTTTGTGTGGACCAGGCTTTCCTAGGATTCATTGTTAGTAAAGAAGGGGTTCGAGTGGATCCCGAGAAAATCAAGGCTATTCAAGAGTGGCCAAAACCAAGTAATATTAGTGAATTTAGGAGTTTTCATGGGCTTGCAAGTTTTTATAAAAGATTTGTGCCTAACTTCTCTACTATTGCGTCACCCTTGAATGAACTTGTAAAAAAAATATGTACCTTTTCAATGGACCAATAAACATGATCATGCATTTCAACTCTTAAAGGATCAACTCACAAATGCACCCATACTAGCTCTTCCAAATTTTGAACATACTTTTGAGCTAGAATGCGATGCATCTGGAATTGGAATAGGAGCTGTGTTATTGCAAGGAGGACACCCCATTGCATATTTTAGTGAAAAACTAAAAGGTGCCTCCCTCAATTATCCAACCTATGACAAAGAGATGTATGCATTAGTTAGGGCTTTGCAAACTTGGGAACACTATCTAGTGTCCAAAGAGTTTGTAATCCATAGTGACCATGAGTCACTCAAGTATTTAAGAGGTCAAGGTAAGTTAAATAAGAGGCATGACAAATGACTAGAATTCCTTGAACAATTTCCATATATTATTAAATTGAAGATGGGCAAAGCTGATATTGTAGCTGATGCTTTATCTCGAAGACATACTTTGCTTATGTCTTTAGGAACTCAAATTCTTGGATTTAATAATATTAAGGAATTGTATGAGAAAGAGCTTGACTTTGGTGATATTTATGAAAAATGCCAACAAAAGGCCTTCAATAGTTTCTATATGGCTGAGGGGTATTTGTATAAAGAAGGGAAGTTGTGCATACCCCAAGGATCCATAAGGAAACTATTGATAAAAGAAAGCCATGAAGGTGGGCTTATGAGGCACTTTGGAGTTGACAAAACCCTTAGTTTGCTTAAAAAAAAATTTCTTGGCCCCATAAACCCAGATATTGGAGATCTCATAATGCAGAAAAATTGGAAAGGTCAGATGCAAAAATCCAGAGCATAAGATGGGGGGTTTTATTTTACTAAGTTGTTATAAAATGGTTTGTAATATCTAGTGACTTTTATTGAATAAAACTTTAATTGAATAAATTTAATTCATTTGTTTAAGTATCTTTTCTACACATTATAATAATATAAATATTATTAAGCATAAATAATTAGTTATAATTAGCATATGTAATCTAGAGAGAGGGTTACATAGTGCCGACATTCTTCAAGCCAAATGGCATTACCCGATAACAATAGTTAGCCGAGTCAGTGATGAAAGCGGTCTTCTCTTCATCTTGTGGATGCATTTGAATCTGATTATACCCTGAATAGGCGTCGAGAAAAGTTAACATATTGTGTCCGGAGGCACCATCGACTAAGCGATCAATGTTGGGCAACGGGTAGGCATCTTTAGGGCAAGCTTTGTTTAGGTTAGTGTAATCGGTGCACATTCGCCACTTCCCGTTCGCTTTCTTAACCATAACCACGTTTGCGAGCCATGTTGTGTATTGTATTTCCCGAATGAACTTTGCCTCAAGAAACTTGGCGACTTCCTTCTCAACGGTCAGCTTTCTTTCGGTTCCCATTTTCCTCTTTCGTTGGGCTATTGGTTTAGCTTCTCGGCCTACGGAAAACCTATGACACATAACATTGGGATCTATACCTAGCATATCCGAAGGTACCCATGCGAAAAGGTACTTGTTCTTCTCAATGATTTCGCCCAATGCTTGGCGATCCGATTTAGGCAATTTGGTCCCCAAGTATGTGACTTGAAACGATTTCGAGCCGATTTGGAATGCAACTTTCTCCTCTGTTGACTCCATTCGTTCATCCTCATTCATTCTCGGATCCAAGTCCCATGCTGAAGCCGATTCAAAGGAGGAAGGGGTTATTGCTTGGATTCGTCTCGACTTTGCTTTCTTCTTCTCAATAGGTGGTACCTGCAAACTTGCAAAATAACATTCTCGTGCTGCCTTCTGGTCAGCATGAATTGTAAGGATGTTTCCTCTATTGGATGGGAATTTCATGGCAAGATGGGTTCTTGAGACGATGGCTCCTAATGCGTTCAATGACGGCCGACCAAGTAGAATACTGTAGGACGTGTTGGCCTGTACTACAATGTATTTTACTTGGATATCCCTATGTTATTTTTCATCGAAGCCAAATCGAGTGAACAACTTAATGAAACCCTTGGTATTGACCCTTTCCCCGGCGAAGCCGACCAGTGGTTCGTTGTAAGGAATCAGCTCTTCCTCCAAAATGCCGAGTTGCTTGAATGTGTTCCAATATAGAATATCAGCCGAACTGCCTTGATCCACCAAAGTTTTCTTCACGATACAGTTATGTATCTCTACACTGATGACCATGGGGTCATCTTAGATTGGGTCTATACCTTGAAAATCTTCATCTGTGAATGTGATGATAGGTAACCGCCAAATTGATCGCTTCTTAACAGCATTAACCGACCTAACAACCCGCAGATGTCTTTTATGAGCCTAGGAAGTTGATCCTCCTCCTGCGAAGCCTCCAGCAATCGTATTGATAACACTCCTATGCGACGTTTGAGGCTCTTCCTTTCGATCTCTCGATCTGTTGCGCTCGCGTTGATGTTTGTCTGAATGCTCATGTCGGTCTCGTTGTTGAGACTGGTGATTGGTCCGAGGGCGAGATGAATTTGGCCGATCGATAAAGTTTTGAAGTTGTCCTTGCTTGATAAGGTCTTCAATCCGATCCCTCAAGGCTGCGCATTCTTCAGTGGAATGTCCTCGATTGCGATGATACCTACAAGATTTGTTGGTATCTGCTCGAGGGGGAGTTGATGCTCTCTTGGGAACCACTACCACTTTCGATGTCAGAGCTTGTTCAAGCACCGCGGCTCGGCTTGCATTGAGGGGAGTATAATGAGAGTATTTCGGACCCCGTGTGGGTCGGTCTCGAAGAGTTAACTCCTTGCCTCGCCCTCTGAATGGTTGTTTTGTTGGCTTTTCGGCCTTTCCAACCAGTTCATCTCGAGCTTGATTGCGGTATTCAGCTAGCTCTTCCATTTGCATATACTTATCGGCTCTCCTTCGTAGGTCGTTCATGTCCGGATGAGGTTTCTTACAAATACTATTGACGAACGGTCCTGACTTTAAGGCCGTTGTGAGGTGATGGAGTGCTACGACTGGATTAAGATCCTGGATCTCCAAGGTTTCCTTATTGAACCGATCAATGAAAGTCCGAAGTGACTCCTTCTTGTCTTGCCGAAGGCTGACCAGCGATAGAGAAGTCAGGCTGTGTTACGAACTGGATGGTGAATTGAGACGACAAATTGTTGAACGAGTCGATAGAATTGGGGGGAAGCCGAGTGAACCAACTCACGGCCCTGCCTTTGAGAGATGTTGGAAAAATCTGGCACAAAGTAGTGTCATCTGTGGTGCTTAATGTTACCTGCGTAAGAAAAATGTCAAGATGCTCGTCAAGGTCCGTTGTTCCATCATATTTATCAATTGGTAGGGACTTCCAGTTATCCATCAAAGGTAATTGCATAATAGAGGGTGTGAAAGGGTGTCGGTGTGATCCAATGGTTGCTAAGTCGGTGGGATGACCGACTGTAGGCAAGGCCGAAGGTAACTTTTCAGGTGCAACAGCCAAGGCATTTGGGGCCGAAGTGTGGATCTCATTGGATTGGTAAGACCCTTGGGTTTGAGTGTTAGTTGGCTGGGTAGGTCTCCACGAGGGATCTTGATTTTTCAATGCCTCATTTTCGGCTCTCAAGGCCGAAAGTTCCTTCGCATCCTTCTCTCGTTGTTGCTTCATAGCCGCCATTTCTTGCTTCAGTAGATGAATGGTCTCAGAGAGATCAGTTTCGTCCACAACCTCAACATGTTCTTCCTCTTCAGTCTGGTGATCTTCCATGTTCGTTCTCATTGTTTTCGCCATTGTCTTGCTCAGTTAATCTCTACGAATGTCTCGGTTCGGCCCTACGGTGGGCGCCAAAATGTACCTGTCTGAAGGGCACACTAGTAATCTTCTCGTACTCTGAAGGCCGAACGAGAGCTCCAGTAGAATATTCCGGTGAGAGGGAGGGTACCTGAAAAAGGCACTCCGATGCTCAAGTCAGGACAAGCACAAATATCGATAGTAATTAATGAACAGTGACGTTATCTCGTGACATGAGCTATTTATACTGATATTAATGGGCCCTGACTCCCATGGACCCTGCAACAAGATTACCATATTAGGTAATACGCCTCTAATCAACTTATTGGTATGATTAGCTCTTAACCCTTGATTAGGGTTAATCCTTGGCCCTTGATTAGGGGTGATCTGAGTTTATGGAGCACTTGGTGGCCGATCAGTTATCGGCTACCTGATTCGGCATTCGGGTGACAATTGGATATAGGCTACCTGGTGGTCGAAGGTCTTGCCGGTACAATCAATATAAATGAAATGTACTATTTGTGTATTCCATACCATTAATAAGGAGGTTTGTGTTATTTGGAATCCATTTTTTTTTTTGGATAATTTTACCCTTATAATTAACTTTTTACAAATTATAAGTTTTCTTCTTCTATAAATCTCACTCTATAACTGTTTATATCTTTAGTAATTATTCATTATTATATAATTTTTGTTACTTATTATTTTTATAAAAATAATTCAGAGATTAAAAAAAAAACTTCTAAAGAAATTGTAAATAAAAAATTAGAATTAGGTATATGAACCGATCTAACTCATATCCATATTTTGCACGTGCTAAACAAGTTTAATCCATAAATGAATTTTTTTTTTCAAGCTCATATCTGACCTGTCAAAATTGACAAATAATCAAATCCATCTACGAGTTTAAATAGTTATTCGAAAAATATATGTTAAAATCAATAAATACATAAAATTAGAAGGATTTTTTTATATTGTAAACTAATTAATATTTAGAATGATCTTAAATACTAAATATTAAAATGTTAATACTAAACATATTATTAATACTTATATAATAATATCAAACTTTCAATAATAAAAACATCCAAATATATATCTTAAAAATAATCCAAATGACAAATACACATTAACTAAATATAATTTTAATATAATAATAATTTAAAATTTTAAATATATAATTAAATATTAAAGCCTTAATAAACAAAAAGGTTAATTAATGAAATCCGTAGGTTCAAGTATGTGAACTTCCTGAATCAGACTAAAATATTAAACATAATTATACAAACTTAGAAGAAGAAAAAAAGTCTGTTATTTGTGAAATCTACATGCTTACGCAGTGGTCAACAAACCCACGCCTATGAAAACATTTTATTAAGTATGAGAAGATGAAGAGAAAGGGAAGTTGTAGCGCCCAGGGAACAAGAAGAAAAAACATCTGAGATAGATAACCACTAATAATAATTAGTTATAACAAATAAAAATATTTTACTTTATTTTATAATTTGAAAGTATGAAATTAAGTATTATAATACTTTTAACTATAATATTTATACGAACTATTCGTGGAATTGTTTTAACATTGAAAAATAATATTGAAACAAAGCAACTTTTTTCACTTAAAATCAATTTATTGCAATATTTATTTTAGTTTGAGAAATTTTGTTACCCCTCTTTTTAGTTCCTCGTTAGTTTAATCTTTGCAAAACATTCATGTTTGATGTAAAATCGGACACTAAATATAAAATTATAAACACATTTCTCGACAAACTGAAACCTTAATTTTCTTTTTTGTAATAATTCATTTTCATTCGATATAATATGTGTAATAACAATAATAGTTTCTTTTCATTCAAAATAATAAATTATTATAATAAGAATGCACTATTAACACCTTTGGAGAAATTACCTAGACAAAACATAAATATTATATTTCATAAATTTGTTCAAATGAAATGAAAGATTTTACTTTATAAATCCAACTATATGTTGACAGATTTGATGGACAATTCAATTTTTTTAAAGAGGGGATTTCTCCGCTAGCCGGAGAGACCTACAAAATCAAACTTTTAACAAAATAAAAATAAAGAAATGGAAATTTTATGTGGAAGAAATAGTGAGAGAAATATGAAAAGTCGTGAGTATTAAAAAAAAAACCTATGAAAATAAAATGTAAAAAAAATAAAATAAAAATAATACACACTATTAATACTAAATATATTTTTCATAATTATTTCATCAATAAATAAATATTCAATAAATTTAATTATATTTATTTTAATTTTTAGTAACTCATAATAAATTTCAGTTTTGAAGATAATTTTCAACTTTAATGTAATTATTTCTGATATACTACTAAATATTCTACAAAATTTTAATTTATTTATATACATACATTTAAAATTAGTACGTACAATTATTTTAAAAATATAACATTTTTTTTTAAACCCGTGCAACACACTAATTGATCTTAAAATATCTAGTACTACGTTCATTAACATAATTGTATATAGTAAGTGGGAGTGGGATGGTGACGTGTTAATGGTTCCATGGACAAAAGCTAGGGTTAGGAAACCTAGAAGTGGTCTGCGGACATTTCTATCATAGCTCTTACACTATATGGAGGTTGAGAATGAAATTTTGTCATCATTCACTTTGTCTTCAGTTTTGTGGAAGTTTGCTGCCTCATTCCTCTTTTCAGCGAAAGTAAAAGCAACCCTTCATCTCCATCGTCACATGAATTCAACATAAATAATATATAGAATATTGCATATATTTTATTAGGATGCAAAATTTCACTAGTGTAAAAGTAAAAATTTTATATGCAATTTTTATGTTGAGTATTATCCATATAATATAAAAAAATTACATAGTAACATACTTGTAAATATGTCAAGATATTTTATGACGAGTGTTGACTTACCCGTCATGGAATGTATTGGTCAGTCTTAGACTCCAAACTTTCTATGATGGGTATTAACTTATCCATCATAGAAAAAGAACATTTTATGCTGGATAAATTGTAACTCGTCAAAGAATGTCTTGTTATTACTCATGATTCAGAAGCAATTTCTAGTGACTCCTCTGTGCATGCTACCCACTCATTCTAGCAACCAATATGATGAAAAACCAATTCTCCTTTAGTTCCCCTTCAATCTGGTCAGTTTCTATTTTGGTTCTCATTCGCACATGCTCCCAAGTTCAAAGCTTTTCTTCTCCTTTTTCCATGAGTTTTAGGGTTTGTGGTGGATGATATGTATATTATTCTAAGTGTAGGTTTGTTCATTACTTGTTTGGTTATTTTGGGTTTGTCCATTGTCTATTTTGATGAAATCTATTATAGTTCTATATAGACATGACAATCTAACCCGTCCCGATTTGGACGGTAAAAACCCGTGTTTATCGGGTTCGGGTTTGGGTTCGGGTTTTCTCCGATTGATAAAATCGGGGACGGGGGCAGGGATGAGAATGTTAATACTCGCCCCGCCCCTGCCCCCGCCCCGCTTAATAATATAATTTAAAAATTATTTATATATATATATAAACCAAAATTATAAATATTTATATGTAAAAATTTATATTATTTTACTTCTCTTTTAGTTTTTAAAATTTTTTCATATTTATTTAAAAGAAAAAAAAAGAAAAAAAAATAGGAGTGGGGGTGGGCAAGGGTGGGGGCAGGAAAACCCGAACCCCGCCGAGGGCAGGAATGGGTACCCAGATTTTACCCCTGGGGGGTATCGAGGATGAGGGCAGTGACAATTTAAATTTGCGGGGGCAGGGGAGGGAAACGTAAAACCCACCCCTGCCCCGCCTAGTTGCCATGCCTAGTTCTATATGTATATAGAAAACTGATTTGAACATTAGTTAAATATAGGGTGTGTGTGGTTTCTTAGGAACATGCTTAATGATATAAATGATAAAAGGTACTACATTAGACAATTTATATAATATACTTATAAATTAATTGAGACATAGATTAAAAATTTAAAAAAACATGTTATCTACCTAGATATACAATACTGGGTACACTACAAGAATGTTTTAATTTAGAGTCGGCCAAAAGCCGATTCTAAATCATAAAAGCCGACGCAATATTGTGGGTTATTCGTCGGTTTTTGGCCAACGCTAAAAAAGTCGACACAATTTTTTTTGTGTCGGC